GGATGACCTACAAGAGAAGGACAAAAATGTCCATTAGACAGGGACAGACAGACCAGATTGTATCAAATATTTGTAACCCTTGGATAGGAGAGAAGGCCACCTGAGCGATGTGAACAGGGGGTTAGACTCCACTAATGCTCCAGAACAGTTAGGGCCCAGGGCAAGAGCACCATCCAGGATAGAAGGGGGCAAGCCCCTGCCAAATATGTGAAGCAAAAACTGCCACTTTTTAAAATCACATGATGAAACAGACCTTTTGAAGGGGAAGGCATTGTACCTAACATGAAATGCTTGCAATTCACAAGAACCTCTGATCAGACATCATCTGCTCAGGATTCAGGTGCTTTGCATGGGTAGGCACTCAGCAGAGCTACTGCTGATGGGTCCTGGGCCCACAGGAACCCATAGCCCAGGCTCCTGCATTGGCACGGGTTTGCAGACAGATACTCCCCAGCATTGTACATGAAACCACACATCCACAACAGAACATGTTCATCAGAGATCAATAGACAAGTGATAAGAGTGATAAGTCTCCTGCTATGCCTCCGATCACGCTGGATGCCTTGAGCTCTTATCTGTAATTTTCCTACTTTTAGGTACACAGAGTTTCATAGAATACTGCAGCGTCCAACCAGAGCATGCACCTAGTGTAGACATGCTCCTTACTTCTGGAGGAATGGTTCTGACAGACACAGCCTCTGCATTCCACCAGCCTGAAACAGAGCCAGCAGCACTGCTCCAGCTATGGGAGGAGGGCTCCTTCTAGATCCACTGAGGCCTCCATCCCAAAGCTGGTTTTCCCTGGCTCTTACCTCCTTCACCATACCACCCCCTACACCCATACATCTGATGCCCCCTGTCATTCTCAGTCTCACAATGACACTATTATGTTGGTGGTTTTAAGCTGGGCACACCTGGTAATGTGACTCCTAGAAATCTGCTCATAGGTCCCATTTTTGCTAAATGTGTTGCAAGGGCTTAGACTTTGACAGATCTCACTGGAGGAAGAAGAGCAAATACTACTATTTTTATCCAAATACTAAGCAGACCACAGCAAGGATCTGACTTTAGGGTAGCTTGGTTGAATTTCTCCAGGTCTAGGGGACAAAGTATCTCATCAGCTTGCCCCCTGCAGGAAAGTAGACAGAGTCCTACAGTGCCAACAAGAAGCAGAAGGTAGGGAAACAAGGGGAAAGAGGCCTCCATGGGGTAAGGACAAGCAAGGATGACCCATCCCAATTCCCTCCACAGAATCACCAGGTAATCATCATTTCTAAGTAATGAGCCCTCTTGGAGACAGTCTCACAGAAAGAAGGACTCAGTCAGGGCTGAGCTCTTACTCCACCTCAAAAAGCAGCATCCTGAGGCCACTGCTTGGCTGTGATGCAAGTGACAAGGCTGGAGGACGCAGACCATGCATACCCAACCTTTCCAGGGTCTGGTCACCCACATATTCTTTCCTCCATGCAGACACTGGGGACACTGAGTTCCTCTGCACGTGGGTTCAGTGTCTTCTCACATACCTGCTCGCTTCCACCCACATATTTCAGGTGAGTGCGAGCACAGACACATGTTTCAGTCTTTCTAAATTATATTTATGGACTTTATTCATGATCAACTTGCAATAATATATAAAAGGGTTTTTACTCTAATTTCAGTACATGGACCTACTAAGTTTAAATTTAAACTGCATTATTGATACTGTCCTAGTTCTCTGAGTGGGTCAACTCTCATCACCAGGACCAGAAACAGGAAGTACTGAAGTTGCCTAAATACATCTGCTGGACTTTCCAGATGGTAATTGATCAGTGACAAAGAATCTGTCCTGCACAGCTCAGCCTCAGAACCTCCCAGGATGGCAGGTTCCCTGCAGAGGTAGCCCTGGCCCTACTATCCAACACAATGGCCAGCTGCAGAACACACACCTGCCCTCTGTGTGGAAAGCATGAAAAGTATAGAAAAGTGCAAGAAACATGTCTAAAAGCACCTCCAAGCATTTTACACAAACAGCAGTATTTTCTCCTAAGCACATCTACCTATTTTTAAAACAAATGACATCAATTATATGTTCTTTCAGAACAAAGTAGTATATCTATATCTGTAACATCTGGAGAAATTTATCATGAGTTTTTTTAGCCTTTTAACATTGTGTATTGACATCCAAAGAAATCTATGAAAATCAAACATCTAGTATTCAAGATTACCTGGATTACTTTTATGCTTAGAAAATGCTTCCGCAGCTCAAAGATCAGATTAATATTCACATCGAGTAATAACAGCATATATTCATTTTCCTATGAATATGTAAGTGGTATGTATTCATTGAGGAAAATTTAGAAAATTCAGAAATTTGTGCAACAGAGATCAGCAGCAATTCCAGCTCTCAGAGACAAATGCTAAGGCTGAACTTCCCAAAGCCCTTAAATGCACATGTAATGTGCCACAAACCAGGCACACACTCACTCACCTGCATTTCATGCCATACTATTTTCACATATACTGCCAGCTTTTTCATGTCATGAATCTTTTCTACGACACAAGTTGATGCCTAATGTTCTATTGTGCTGTAGAGTATAGTTATCATTAAGTCCTCTATTGTTGGGCATTTGGACTGTTTCCAATTGTGAATTATTTAAGTAATGCTATAATAAACATTTTCCATGTGTAAATATAACACTTATCTGACTGTCTTCTGAATGCAAATTCATTAGAATTTTCAGCCAAAGTCGATAAATATTTTTGAAATTTTTGATACACATGGACAAACAGTCCTCCAAATGCCTCTGACAGTCAACCTCTCAGACACATGAGATGGCACCCTTGGTCTCTGATTTGTGACCACAATCCTACACTGTAAACCTTTAAAGACCCAAGCCAGTAAGACAGTCTATGATGACACACGTGCACTGTCCTCATCTGTGAACAGAGGCTCAGCACCCTTCCATGTTGGTTAGTGAAATGCCTGCTCAGCACCTGACAGTGATATAACTGGGTGGAATCAGTGAGAGACAAGAGGTGTGCAGAAAGAAAGAGGCATCATTAATTTCTAGTCAAAATTTCAACAAATTTAGGTACACTGAAGAGAAAAAATTCTGGCATTTTTATATTAGAATAATTTTTAGATGGACCAAAGTATAATAGAATAAAATTGGACCAGGGTAGAACTCACTGTGATCTCAGTGTATAAAGATTTGTCTCTAGTTCTCTCACCAAAGTTAGACTCCACGAATACTCATGGACACTCTGGAGCCAAGAGTTTAGACTCTCATCCTTCTCTTTGCAGGGGTGGGGTGATTTGCCAAATAACTGCTTCCATAACTTGAGGGAGGAAAAAAAAATCACAGGGCCTGAAACATGGTGTCTGACCATAAAACAAAACATCTGGAGGCAGCCCAGATGGGTCTCCAGCCACACTGCAGCCATCTCTGCACTCAAAAGAATAAATGATCATTCTAGTTCCAAGTCTAAAACAGGAGCTCAAGCTGAACTCAAAGTCCAAATCATCTCAGAATGTGCAACCAAGTCTCCGATCTCATCAACTCACTGGTCTGACATGTGCAGCCTGCTTCCTATTGGTCTGAGATGCTACTGCTAACCTGTTTCAGTTACCTACAGAGGCAAGGCAAGAGAGGCATCGGTATAACCACTGCAACCCTACAAAGGGAACCAAAGAGGTGATGGGGAACTAAAACTGTTGTGCAGATATCTTTCAGAGGTCTAGATGCAGTAATAAATTCTGTGAACACTGCATTTTTGCACGTTTTTACTGCGTATGTGTTTAATAAGTCACTAATAAGAATAAGTCACTAACACTACTAAAACTGGTTTTTAAAAACTGATTAGTGGGGCTGGGGATGTGGCTCAAGCGGTAGCGTGCTTGCCTGGCATGCACGGGGTGCTGTGTTTGATCCTCAGCACCACATAAAAATTTAAAAAAATAAAGATGTTGTGTCTACCGAAAACTAAAAAATAAATATTAAAAAAAAACTGATTAGTATGTGTATTTAACATATTGATCCCAGAATAAAGTACAAACAGAAGCAATGTTCTTCCTATACAAACACTTGCTGTTTCCCACTGCTGGCTGCCTTTTCATGTCCATCTGGAGATGCCAGGTCCATAGTTACATGGTTGTTGCACAATGCACTTTCTCTTGCCAACCTCGGGACGCAGTGTGTGGTGACTCTGCCTGTGGAGGTTCTGGGGTCTGGTGATTGCTCAGCTCCAGATGTATTATCGAGACTGTAGTTACACTAAAAACGTTTCCCTCTTCTGCTTCGAGAGTGACCTCTCTCTACCCATGCCCCTGCCCATTCCTCATTGTCAGTTCTCCCAGCGATGGCCTGGCTTGCACCCTCCCCTCGGTAGTCCCCATTTGCCCATGCCCATGTGGAGCCGACCCTCTCCACAGCCTTAGTCACACAGCTACGTGCTAGGGCACCACAGGCTTGCCTATCTGGCCATGGCTGAGACACAAAGGCACATACTCACTCCCTGCATTCCACCTGTGTGTTTGACACAAGACAGAACTTCCAGGAGCCAGGCTCCAGACTACTTGCCTCTCATTAGCCCCACATTGTTCTCCCTTCCTCAGCTTTCTAGAATGTTTTGACATCACAATCAGCAGCCCTGCACTACTGTTCTTTTCTAAAATTTGATAGCTACTTTTATACAAATTATTTCCTTGTGACATTTAAAAGCAGTTAATCAATCTCCATAAAATATCCTGTAGCAACCACATTCAGTTAAAAAAAATTATGTATAAAACATAGTAGGTAACCGACATCATTGGGAATGGCAGGGTAATGACCACCAACAGCTCTCCCCTCCATAAAATCAAAGAGAACACTGGAAAAAAATGGTCATAATTAACTTTTAAGAACTCTGAAAATTAATCAAGAGGTTGCAGCAATCCACGGGTCATCTGTTCAAGGAAAAAAAGACAAACAAACAAACTGAATCTTGGCAAAAATGGCAAGCTTTGTGGCACTGTCACTTACCCTGCTCCCATCCCCTTCCCCAGTTCCAGGAGAGCTCTGCAGTCAGGAGCAGCAGCCACAGCAGGGAAGGCAGAGCAGGGGCTTCCTCCACAGCTCTGAGCACCTGCATTTGAAAGAGAAGGTGGATCAGTAAGCCAAATTCCTACCTTAAGGAACAAGAAAAAACAGAGAAAACCAATCCCATATCAAGCAGATTAAAGGAAATAGCAAATGCTCAAGCAAAAATAAACAGTAGAAAAACAAGACCAAAAGCTGGCTCCTTGAAAAGAGCAACACTGAGAAACCTTTTTCCAGACTAAAAAAAGAGAAAGAGAAGACTCAACTAGGAATGAAAGCAGATGTTACTTTCAAATTTACAGAGGAAGTATTACAAGGAGACACTATGGGCAATTTACATCAACAAATTAGATAAACTAGACGAAGTGAACAAATTCCTAGAAATACGTACAGATTATAAACACTGACTCAAGAAAAAATAGAAAGCTGAATAAACCCCAAGAGATTGAATTAGTAATCAAAAAACTTTCCATAAGAAACCAGGTCCAGGATCAGGTCGCTTCACTGGTGAATTATGCCAAATGCTTAAAGAAGAATTGACATCAATCCCTCACTAACTGTCCCAAAATGCAAAGGAGGAAAGGATAAATCCCACCTCACTTCATGAGGCCCATGGTTCCCAGACATCAAAACCAGAAGAGATCTCAGAGGACAATTACAGACGAATATCTCTCGTGAACAGATGCACAACTTCACAACAAAATACCAAATCCATAAATACATGATAAAAAAGAATCACCATCACCATCACCAAATAGAATTTACAAAAAAAAAAAAACAAAAACGTTGGTTTAACTTTCAAAAGTCAATCAATGTGATATGTCATATTAAAGGAATAAAAGATAAAAATGCTTTTTTCCATTTTGTTGACTTCCGTTCTTAACCTTCTTCTACTTTTTGCTAAGTTCTTAGACACTTAAATGATGGATCAACTACAAGGCTTTTATTTATATTGTTAGAGTTGTTCAATTTTAGATATTTCCATTGGAACTTCCTCCTTAAATAGAATGCTTTTCAGTGTTTTAAAATGTCTTATATAAAAGTCTTCTTTCTCAGTAGCTTTTATTATTGAGTTCTGACTTAACTACTTTGATCAAAGAACATGGTCTGAGAGAATGTGCAACTTACTTTGTGACCAAATACATGGACAGATTTGGGGACCGTTTTTTGTGCCTCAAGAGAATATGTGCACTATAGTTGGCCACATTTTTATATGGTGAAGACATAAAGCTCGATGTATTTACCACTAAAATCATGAATACTTTTATTTTTGTGTGTGCACTTGACTTATTGATTACTAAAAAAGGAACATCAAAATACCTCACTTGATTGCAATGAGTTAAGTTTTTTGATTACTAATTCAATTGTAAGTCAGCCATTTTTCTTCTACATTCTAAACTTTAGTTATTACACATAGATAAATTCTCTATGTACTGTGAGGTTTGGCTATTAGCTAGTCGTATACCACCTATGGTGTCTTGGTCAAGGACAGACCACACATAATCAGGAAGCCCCATCAAACTGTATTGCAGCTGCGCTGAGCATGGTGGCATACCCCTGTAGTCACAGCTGCTCAGGAGACTGAGGCACAGAAGGCTTGAGCCTGAGAGTTGGAGACCAGCCTGGGAAACACAGCAAGACAAACAACAACAGATGATAATTGAGCTAAACCATCCCTGGTTGGCAGTGTGACAGCCGTGGCGATGCCACAGCATAATGCCATGCTCACATGGTGGTGCTGGTCTAAACAAACCTGCTGCTGCCCACTGCATCCCAGTACAGAGCTCACCACTATCTAAAGCACACAGTTCACTCTGGCAATGACAATCCTGTTTATTGTTTACCACGCTACACTTCAGTCACTGTCTTAGAGTGCATTCTTTCTGCTTGGAAAAAGCACAGCTTGCTGTACGGCCACCTCAGCCAGCTCCCGGATTCCAGAAGGCCCTGTTATCACAGAGGATGATGGCTCCACACATGCCACTGCCCTCAAGACCTTCCAGCAGGACAAGAAGTGGAGGTAGAAGACTGTGACACTGATGATTGTGACCCTGCACAGGCCTACACTAACATGACTGCTTCTCTTAGTTTTTAACAAATACTTAAAATTTTTTCTTAAAATTTAATTTAGAAATAGAAAAACATTTACAGAATAAGAATATAAAGAATATAAAATACTTTTTGCAATAAACACAATATGCTTCTGTTTAAAGTGTTATTACAAAAGTATTAAAAAGTTTTAAAAATTAAAGTTTATAAAGTAAAAAAGTCACAACAGAAAAAAAAAAAAAAAAAAAATTGATTTAAAAGGGAAAAAAAAATCTTTTGCTGTAAAGTTAGTGTGGCCTAAATGGACAGTTTTACAAAGGCTACAGGCGTCTACAGCAAGGTCCCACCACACACCAACTCACCCACAGCCACTTCCAGTCCTGCCAGCTCCACTCATGGTGAGTGCCCTTTAGATCTGGATCTCCTCATGAGACTTCCACAGAAGCAGGCAAGAACAGGATTCACAGCACAGGGGTCTACCTATGACACAAGGGTAGCTTAAGCCTATGCACACAGAGAACCTGTGTGGAGTGGACTGGCCACATGGCTATACATCTTCCCTTCACCCTCAGCAGCATGGTGGGAATTAGGCAGACTCTCATCCCAGGGACCTGTGTGAATGGCCCAAAAGGAGAGGGCTCAGAGTCCTTCTGCCTGAGGTACACTTCCAACTCGGGGCCATGCAGGTGAAGCCCTCTAACAGGCTGCCAGCAGGGTCAGAGATGGAGATGTAGGCACATCTTCAGGGTGCACTCATGGTGTGTATAAAGAAAGAAGGGACAGGTGTGCCAATGACCTTAGTGCCAGGTAGGGTAGGGCCTTCCCTCTGCCCTCAGAAGGTGATCACTGGTGCAAGAACCAATACTGCCACCTCCTGGGGAGAGCAGGAGAACTGAGTAGAGGACAAGCCTGTTTGGGCAAGCCATGTGGGCAGACTGGGCATGGAATCTGCAGACACGCAGGCCTGGCAGAGGGGAAGCAAGAGCAAGGTCAGAGACTCAGCCCACTCTGTCCAAACCAAAAGGAGAAGTGATCATCAAGTTGGAGGACAGAGACCTGGAAGGTGAGGCCATGGGGCTGGCTGGTAGAGTGTTTCTCAGAATGATCAAAGGAGGCCAAGGGCAGATTCTGAGCTATGGTGGCATGCCGAAATCTAAAACTATATTCCTAGTGGAAGTAATTTCCTAAAGTCTTGATAATACACTCATCCCAAAATTCCCATGTGGTCCTAGCAGCTGAGGACGTGTATGGTTCACTGCAAGGGCAGCAAGAGCCTACTATAAATTATACAAAAGAAGCAGCCTCCAAAGAAATGTGTAATCATAATGGGTAGAAGAATGTAGACCTCAAAAACAGCTCAAGCTAACAAGATGCTGACCACAAACCAACATTTCCATTGTCAGTGGGAGATATGTGGATAAGTCATACAGTAACAAAAAGACAGAAGAGGGTCAGTTTTCAAAAATAGCTCAAATAAAAACCTGGCAGGGCTGGGATTGTGGTTCAGTGGTAGAGCGCTTGCCTAGCATGTGTGAGGCACTGATTTCAATTCTTAGCACTGCATATAAATAAACAAAATAAAGTCCATTGACAACTAAATATATATATAAAAACCTGGCAAAGTTAGTGAAGTATACACTAGAGCAAGGAAACACAACCTCATACCTGTTACAACTACTAAATCCAAAAAACTGAATCTAACAAGTGCTGGCAAGGATGCAGGAACACTCCTTCATCACACATAGGGATGCAGAACAGCAAGGCACTTGGCAAGGCAGCTTGCTGGTTCTCTGTCATCTAACTATGCTCTCACCAGACCACCTTCAGCTGCACTCCCTGGTCTCACCCACACAGGTTGAAAACTTACATTCACACAAAGGCCTGCACACAAATGATTATAGCAGCTTTCTTCAGACTGCCAAAAGCTACTGCCAAAAGCTAGAAGCAACCAAAATACTTTTCAATAGGTGAATAGATAGGCAAGCTGGCACATTCATTGTCATTGGTCATTCTGGAAAAGGTAAAATAATAGTGATGGTAACAGATCTGTGATCATCAGGGCTCAGGGCAGGGTGAATGAGTAGAGCATGGGGGATTTTCTGGTGGTAAAAGTACTCTATATTGGTAATACTGTGGTTCCAGCTATAAGACATAAAGCAGTTATCAAAATCCATAGAATTTTACAGCATAAAATATAAACCTTAATGTACACAATTTTTACAAAAATCATTTAGGAGAATGGAAGAATCCCAAGACAGTATGTGGAATGTGATGACACAGCCTAACTGCACTAAAGACATATGAAATGTCTCACTCAAGGGTGGGAAATAGGGAGCTCTGGAGTGGAGTGGCAAGGTAGCAGAAAGCCCACACAAGCACCACACTTCAGTTGGTGAAGCTGTCTCCAGGGAGAATGACTTGACAATCCCAACTCCACTGTGTGTGTCCACCAGAACCCAACCATCAAAGAATTAAGGAAAAGGATGGTGGATGATGGGAACCAACTGTCTTGTTTTGGGAGTGGGGGTTACACACAAGAACAGAGAGGCTAGAGTGACCCATGTGGCAATGAACTAGAAATGTCAGTATGAAATGATATTTAGCTTAACCTAGACACAGATGTCTACAGGTAAGTATTTAGATACGTACAATGTACAGGTTAGTACATTCAAGTAGCCCTTTGCTTTGTCAGTTAGAAGGACCTAAAGCAACAAAACCCAGTAGCTACATATATATTCTGCAACCAAACAGATTGTTTCTTGTACTATCTGCTGATCAAAGGAACCAGGAATCCTTGGAGAAACAGCTAATCCTAGGATGGGGACAGGAAATTCATAAAGTAAGCCTAGACCACCATACAGTGCCTAGTAAAGAAGTGCTTAGCAAAGCAGCACACACACAATGATGGAAGCCAGGCAAAGAGACACTGGAGCCAACTGGAAGAGCTCCCAGAGGGTCAAAGCTGGAAGAAGTTGAGAAAAAAAATTAGCATAGAAC